TATATATATATATATATATATATATATATATATACAGTATCTATAGAGTGCAATTCATAATTTATTTTATGATTACAAAATTATAAAATTATTTTATGATTATTACACTTCAAAAACTGGTAACCTGCGACTGCTACTTTAAAGAGATATTTCTAAATATAATATAAATTAATATACTTTATGATATTGGTTGTATAAATTGATGTATTTAGATTGATTACAATCTTTTTTTACTTAAATCCAGTTAATTGAGAGGTTACCATTTTTAGGTCAACTTTTTTTTTTTTTAATTATACACAATTATGATGAATGTTGAATTAGATTGAACAGAACGGAGTTTTTTTGCTGTTCACACTTGGATCATACATAAATAAATAAATAAATAAATAAAACTGATCTATGTCGCTGTCACGAATCCGGTCCATGTTTTCCTGGATTTACCCCTTTAGTCTTGCCCCTTTTGATTCTGTTCGCCGTTCGTCGACCTTCACTAGCCCTAGGCTTATTCTTGTGTCTTGCCCGCCATATACCTGTTTGCCACTTGTTCGACCCTGCCTGTGTTTCAGACCTCTCTGCTGAATAAAGCTTGCATATGGATCCGCACGTCTCACGTCTTGTCAGCCCCGTAACAGTCGCATTTGAAGTATAACTATCACCATAGAGATCTGTCCTAGACCAATAAGCCCAAACATATCAGCAACAATACTGGCACCCCAAAACCCAGCTGAAATATGAGGAGCATAAAACAACAGTTCACTGAAGAGGATGCTTTGTCTGAAAGTTTGAGAGCTTTAATGAGCTTCTAGTATCACAATTGGCTGGTATTTAATAAAAATTAAATGTAGATAGATACCCTCATTTCTGGCAGCATCTCTTGATTTTTAGAGCAGAAATGTCTACCAGATGGTCTGTATGTGCCCACTGTCAAACCAGCCCTGCTTCAGTACACTAACATTATTTAGACCTGAACACTCAGCACCACTGTTGCCTTTAAGAAATTTTACTTTTGTAAGACCTAAAACTAAATGTAGGCAGAACACCTCACAGAGGTAAGTCTGAACTGACAAAACATTTAAGACAGAAAACACACATGTACTTCAAAAAATAACATACGCCCTATGGGAATCTTTACTTAATTTTTTACAAAGTACAGAAAAAAGTACATTCAATTGTGTTATGGAGGAGCACAGTATTTTTTTTTTTTAAACGACAGTCATGCTGGAAAATGCACAATGACCATACTTTATTAATAATTTTCAGCCTAGTGCAAATTCACAACCGATTTCACTTCCATTGCCTTGTGAAAAAGAAGTACACATTAGTATACTTTTAAAAAGAGTACTTATTAAAGAATTAATGAAAATAATTATATTTACGTGCGAACTGTTTTCAGACCCTTAATTATTTGTAACTGTAATTAAATGAAACTGTATTATAGTTTTTAGTATTTTTTTTAATTAAATGTAATTTGAGTGACGAATGGAGCTCAAGCGTAGTTCAGGTAGACCACGGCGTGACAGCCAGCATCAGCTGACGCTCAGCTGATTGTAACTCCTCCCACTGCAATTAAATAAGATACATAAGTTCATCCGTACTTCATCTGTACTTGCCTTAGTCTGTCGCACAGACATGCGCTTACCCTCCTCCATCCCCAGCTCCTCCTTATACAGGCACATTATCACTTACACTGTAAAAACAAATCTGTAAAATTTACAGTAAAATATCGGCAGCTGTGGTTGCCGGAATTTTACCGTAAAAAATATGGTAGCAACATTTTAGGTTTATGGTTTTATTACCGTAATTTTGTTAACTGATATAATGTTAATATACCAACCTATTGAAGTACTGAAATCTGTTTTGTACCTTTGTAATACACTGATAACCACCAAATGCAGGTGGTGATGAGAAAGTCACACGATGAACCAAAAGCCCATCACAAGCAGCTTTTAAATAATAATATACATAGAAGGTGCACAGTGTCATTCACACAAACACTAAACACCATCATGGTAACACACATGAAACTGAAATAATGCAATAAACATTCATTTAACAACATTAGGTGTAACACACAACCCTAATATACAAAACTGATAAGAAAAAACAGCAAAACAACATCAAATTTGAAATGTAACGCAGAGAAATCTGGGAATCTCAATTTACAATTATTCACTGTAAATTAAATGGTCTTTTTCACTTCCAAAAACGGTATACTACCGTAAAATTACATGTAATGTCCAATACAGTTTTTCACCATATATAGTAAGGGAATTTACCGTTAACCATTTAACAGGTTTTTACTGTAGCATTTTTACAGTCTTTTACCGTTAAATTCACGGCCATTTTTTACAGTGTAGCGTCTTGTCCACAGACAATCAGCTAATCGTTGCTTAATCTTGACCAGTCTCATTTACAGACCTGTATCACTTCTGCATGGAATTTTATATCTGTTGCATTAAAAATGTTGGTAATTGCATTAGGCTTCGGGGGTTTCAAACCTCAGTGAGGTTTGCTTGTGGACAGCTCAGAATCTGAACCCTTCAGAGCAAAGCCTACGGCCAAAATAATGTTCAGGACCTCTACAATAATCTTAATCAAACAGAGCGGTCCTGACTGAAATGCAATTAGATGAACTTTAGAGTGCTTTTCTTTTTTTATTAAAACATAATTTAAAATGTACTTTAAATGAAAACGTTTAATTTGACATTACTAAGTGCATTTTCTAAAAGTATACTTAAGTATGTTAAGAAACAGTCATGAAATTGTCTCTCTTTAAGTACATTTAAGTAGAATTGATTTTATTTATATTATATTTAAAAGTACAGTTTAAAAAATACTTTGAAGTACATTACTAGTGCACTTCTTTCTCATAAGATTTATGTGACATATTTCCAAGTGAAACAGGATGTTCAAGGAAAAATCAATTGGAATGGGTTGTGGGACATTTCAAGTAACTTCAGAGGTGAAGCAAGTTATCTCATTTGATGAAAGATTATAAAAACTTTTTTTTTTTCATTGAAATAATGTGGACTCATGAATCTTTCACGATAAGAATAATAGGGTCCATTTTGATTTCATGTTAACTTCTGGAGTTTGTACAAGAGGACTGCAATGCATTGACCAAACACTTTTTGTGCACTTGCATGGTTCCGTTTTCTCCATTCTCGCTCTTCCTAACCCACTGCACTCAAATCTATTCTTTATATTAAATATTAAAGAGAGAGAGAGAGGTAGGAAAGAAATATAGTTGTTTTCTGTGTCAAACTGAACTTTAACAGAAAAAACTCTGGTGCGGAGCAGAAAATAGCATGAACGTTGACATTAATGCATCTCTTGTCCATCTCAATCCTTTCCTTCCTGTTACACAGGATTTTCCCATTTAAACTCAGATAACCTGGGCTCCCCGATACACTCTCACACACATACGCCTTTGCACTCTTTCAAGCTTCTGTCTGGCCACTGGAACATTCTGGTTTTCCAGGGCACAGAGAAAGTGTGGAAGATCCAGGAAGACAAATATATTTATCTTCACTGTTCAGATGGTACACATGCACTGAGCTTCATGTTGTGAGAGCAGCACTAATTAATTAGTCACACTAACAATCTGTGAGTGTGTGTGTTTGTGTATCTATGCAGATGTTTGTGCATGCATGTGTGTGTTTGAGATGAAATCAAAGCATGTTTTTGGACCGTTGCTCTCTGATAACGTTAGAGGAATATGTGACACACATTGACACTGACAGTCTATTCAGAATATTTTTTGCTTCCTTTTGAGGGAACAGAAAACTGAGGAGTAAACATATTTATTTTTGCAAAAATAACGATGTCCAAAATGATGAAAAGGAAAATATTTTAAAAATCCAGTTAAAAACAGAAAAATTCATGCCTAATTAAAAAGTTCTTGAAATTTGGTTGGTATGATAATATTTTAAGTATTATTAATTAAGTATACAAAAAATCATGAACTCAAACTAAAGTTGTCATTGTTAGATTAGCTGATATTTTTGTGTGGTTTACAGTTTGGTCTCTCTGTAATATATTTCTGATTTAATGGTTTTAAAACTGAAATGATACATATAATTAAATATATATATATATATATTTTGGCATTTTTGTTTTTATTAGGGAGAAAGTGAGGGGGGTGGGATCCAGAAGGACCACAAGGCTATTGGCTCTAACATTATATTTTTGAATTAAAAATAATAATGACAAATATGCCAAATCTCATTATAAGTTTTTTCTTCTTCTTCGTGGCTTTGAATGAGAACATTTTTATTTACGTATCTAAACATTTTCCCCACAAAATGTTTACCCCCAAATTAAAAAGAGAAAGGACATTTTGAAAAAAGAAAATAAAGCTATTAGGATTATTTTTTCATTGTGATTATAATTTTAAGTACACTGTCCACCCAAATTCTCACTACTGTAATGTATTCAGACATTATACTTCGTAGTTTTTTTTAATTTTATTTTCATTATTTTCTCTCCTTCTGTCATATGTAGATTGTCTGATTCATTCTAGTGAATCGCTTTGTCCTCTTTCTCACATATAGCTTTGGGAGATTTGAATTATTCTAATGAATTATTTAATCCTAAATGTCGCTGTCTCTCTCATATGTAGTGCTGGAAAATTCAATTCATTCGAATGAATCATTTTGTTCTAAATGCCACTCTCTCTTATTTGTTGCAATGGAAAGTTTGATTCACTCTAATGAATCGATTCGTCCTAAACGATTTGTTCTGACGGTTCACTGTAAATGAACAGATTCCAAAAATATTCAGCAGTTCGAGTCCCTAAGCGGCATTAAATGTCTTTTTTGTAACAATATGTCTTCAACTCAGCTATATAAAGTAGGGAGTGTTTTTTCATTTATTTATTTCTAGTATAAATGTATCTTCTCAGTTTTAATATTGTAACCGGGATTGTTCGTTCAGAAACCCACACTGATATATACATTAATACACAGAAGATCCACCCACCTGGAGATTTCTGGCCTAAGTTGTCACTGATTACAGCAATGAGATTTTGGAGAATGTGCTTAATTATTCTGAAAATGGCACAATGTAAAAAAAAAAAAAAAGTATTTATTTTTTTTATTATTTTGAACTAAATATATTATCTCATTTATTTTTTTCTGGTTTTGGAGTGAAATATAACCCTGTGATGTTCTTGACAGGTTTCATGAGATTGACTATAATGAGATCACACTGGTTACTTTGACTTGAAAGCAGCCGCAGATCAGCCGTTCTGGCTTCAGCTGCAAAGTAAACATGCTCTTTCCAAATGAAACTGGAACAATCTGCCCAGGAGGCGTTTTTAAAATGCAAATCTCTTCCAGAGAATCCTCCGTCTCATATACTTGACTTGAGCGATTCAGAGCTGTTTATACTGTGACTGGCCAGGGTTGTTTTTATGTTATTCTAACGCCATCTGAACATTAGATCACAGTCTTGTTACCTTGTCAGCTCTTCCTTGATCTTGATTGGTTCCTGAGGGTAGAACTTCACCCTGAAGCACATAGTGTACGGCTGCTGACCTGAAAACAGCACAACATCAACAATCAGACGAGGGGAGAGAGACAGACTCACTTGAGGTAAATGTGAGACAGATTATGCAGAGAACTGTAACCGAGGGCATGAGGGGAGCTAAAATGATTATATTAATCCATGAGATGAGGGAAACCCCTCTGGTGAAGAATAAAATGAAGTCTTCAAAGATAAATGTAATGAGTCTGAGAAGTTTCGAGCTCAGAGGGAAAGATTGCTTTCATTGACACGTCACAGCAGAGAATGTCTGCTTAGAAGAGTCATTTCACTCTTTGTCTACAATCCTTCTCTGCCACTTTTCTGAATGTGAATGACGTTTAACTTGTGTAAGTTTAGTCATGTTAGCAAAATTTCTGTGACATTTCGTAGGCAAAAAAGTCCATTGTCTATGGTAAATAGCATACATGTATGAAGCACAACTCACACATAAGTACTTTCAAACCAAGCAGCTTTATGTTGGTCAAAGCAACAAATCCGTGTGACCAACTTGAACCCGTTGTGAAATATGTGTGGATAAATTTTTCCCCGTTCGCAAAATTGCACATTGCATGGATTCCTATTGAAATGCAGTGTTAATTTTAACAGCAAATTTTGAATTACTCTATGTCATAGTCTTTGGGCTAAAATGCCATTTAGTTAACTAAATATCATAAGATTTTAGTCAATCTACAGTTCATTTGGCAGACTAAAATCTAACAGATTTAGTTAAATTGTAATGCATTAAACATAAATTAACCAAAAAAATTCCAAGATTATTACATACTCCTGGAGAAAACATATAATAACCTGTTCATATGAACGATATTAATATTATTATTATTATTATTGAACAAGGACATGGTCTTCTTTTCAATAAAATGCCCGTAGTTATATTTATATTCTTTAGAACAAGTTTCATATGGCATCCTTCATTATTTCAAGCAGAAATATGTATTTGTATAAATTAATTAACCTTTATTAAAGCTAGTAAAGTGATTCAGTCAAGAGCAGTGAGTGATTTCCTCTTTTGTTGTTTGATTAACATTAAGGACACAGGCAGTAGCAGGAATATTAGGCTGCTGTCACTTTAAGACCTAATGCACTGGTCCAATACACTGATACACCAATATTCTCCCAACTGCTAAGACATAACCGACCGTGTTTACTTGAATACCCACCAAAACAGACATTTTGGCATAATTTTGTGCGTATTTGTCCGTTCAAGTGCAATAAGACATGAATTCAGTACTCATACAATGTGATTTTCTGTGTGTGCTCCGGGTGCGTGATCATAGAAAACCGTATCGAATTTGTCTGAGTAGGAGCTACATTTGAATTTGAACTTACTTTGTGAAAAAGAATGTTCTATTTAGTATGAATATGGGTAGTGTGAATGAAATTCAGACATACTACATCCGCCATGTTATTACTTTCATGTAACCTACCAGCATCAGTTGCATCTCTTCACTGCCATTCATAAATCCTCTCCTATGGACTCATTAGATAGTAGAGTGTCCAGAATATGCACATCAGAATCCGGGTGGAATTAGTAGGTCATCCGGGTTTTGCCTACTGTTTTTCGAATACTATGAATTCAGAACATACTACTCTTTTGGCGTACTGTTTTTCACATACTATATAGTAGGGAAGTATTCAATTTCAGACGCAGCATAAATGTAGCAGCTTAAAACTCACTTCCACGATACTAGGGTGATATGGGTGGTTGCCAGAGCATTGCTATGCAGTTGTTAGAGTTGCTGGTTGGTTGCTAGGTTGTCTATGATATTTCTGTCATGACTCTCGAAGAGTTTAGCATGGTAATGTACATGACAATGTTAATGTGTTTGGTCTTGGTGGAATAGATCTGCTACATTGTTGCTATGGCAGAGCAAGTACTGAGACTTGCTACTGCCAATACATTCACAGACATGCTGCTGTGAGCATGTAGGAAATGCTGCTGCTGCACATCTAACATACATGAAATCACCCCGTAGCAAATCTATACAGGTGGAGCTGGGGAAGGTGGAGGGTTTCTGTAACTGCTACAGCAAGCACTAGCCCAGTATTTGAATGTTTGAGCAGCAAGCTCATTGGCTGCTGATGCGAAAGAATCCAATTAGCTGCGCCATGTGAATAATGATGTGATTATATCAGATTGAATTAGAACTAGATAGCCTGCGCCATCTAGAGTTTCTTGACAGAACTTTGCATTTTTGTCTCTAGATATGACTCCCTCCTTTAGCAATACTATGTTCATGATCTCCTGAACTTTTGAGCTGTGGTGCAACATTTCCAGTTCCCATTGCATATTCCCTACCATATCTGTGAGCTTCAAGGAGGAAAAGCCAAAAATGTTAAGTACAAAATGTTCTAAATTGTGCTACAATGAAAATGGAAAGAGTGACACTACGTTCACAACTTCTACTGATACAGCTGAATCTGCCAGCTTGAGGGCAAGAACTAAATAAATAACTTACATTTCATCTGTTTCATGACTGGTTTGCTCGGGTCCAACCAATGCTGTAAAACAACAACAAGAGACGGAAATTATTGACTGTTGTGTACTGACAGCTAAAGATGGTGACAAATCAGCATTTTTTATGGTAAGCACTTTGGACAAGCATTCCCACTGATGATCCCTCCCTTTTTTCTATAACGGACATTAATATTACAACATAAATGACTGTAAATAATTCAATGTGGTGCTGCTGGGAGAATTTCTGCTCGACTGAAGAAACATTGTCTTACATACAGTAGGGTAAAACCCCTTGGTCAGTTGTCATGGTAACTTTGTTCAGAATCAGAATAAGGATGAAATATCTACCATGGTGACAGTGTAGAAAAAAGTGTGTTTAAGATTTGTGAGGTTCTATTTCTATTTCAAATAAATTCGGTTCTTTTGAATTTTCTATTCATCAAAAATCTTGAAATCACAGTTTCTACAAGCAGCACAACTGTTTTCAACATTGCTAATAATTAGAAATGTTTCTTGAGCAGCAAATATTATACTGATTTCTGAAGGATCATGTGACACTGAAGACTGGAGTAATGATGCTGAAAATTCAGCTTTGATCACAGGAATAAATTACATTTTAACATATATTCAAACAGAAAACAGCTATTTTAAATTGCAATAATATTTCACAATATTACTGTTTTCTGTATTTTTGATAATGCAAATAAATGTAATTTTGATGAGAATAGTACACTACAACATTAGTGTACTTGATACTCAAGAGACAAGATTTTAAATTATTCACAAATTGTATGTGTATTTAAGTTTAATTGTGCAGTTATTAATTATTGTAAAAATGCTGCATTTTATTTACAGATGTCTCTTTGATATTGTCATACCAAATGCAATGATATTAATTTTAAAGGGGTCATATGATGCTGCTAAAAAGAACAGTATTTTGTGTATTTGGTGTAATGAAATGTGTTTATGCGGTTTAAGGTTAAAAAAACACATTATTTTCCACATAATGTACATTATTGTTGCTCCTCTATGCCCCGCCTTTCTGAAATGTGTCGATTTTTACAACGCTTATCGGTCTGAAAAGCGAGGTGTGCTCTGATTGGCCAGCTATCCAGTGCGTTATGATTGGCCGAATACCTCAAGCGTGTGACGGAAATGTTACGCCCCTTACCATACTGTGATGCCATCTCCCGGCACGACCAGACAAAACCAATAAAACCCATT